GGCGCGCAGGATATCGCGTGAGAGACGTGAGGCCCTGTAGAGGCCCCAGGAGCCGCACCGGCTGCCGGTGAAGCTCCCAATGTTTACGTTTATAACCTAACGTTTACGTGGAATTTTACTGTAATTACTGCCAATACGATTGGGGAAAACAGTTAAATGGAAGTTTGTCACAGGTTGAAAGGTATGAGGGAGCCAGCGTGGGAAATCCCGTGCTGGGACTGCCTGAGGGATTCCTGGCCTAAAATTGTTGAGGTACCTTGAACTTCGTGTTTGCTACCATGCAAATGTGAATATGACAGGACGGCATGGAGCAGGTCATGATGTTGCGGTGTTATTTTTTATTTTTAGGAAACCTTCTGACTTGACTTGGATGAAGGCAGGAAGAAAAAAACCTGTGCTTTTTGCCTAGCTGCATCAGTTGCCTGTCTGCATATAACATACTCAGTAGTCATCTTTACCATAACCAAGAGAAATGATAAGCTGCAAACGTGCAAAGCATCTTCTCTAGAAAGATACCTTCATTTTGGATGAGCATTCTCACAGTCTAAGAGATTGATTTTTTTGAAAAAAAGTTTTACCATTTTTTGTTTTCATAAGAGGCAGAAAGGACTGATAGAAGAAGCATTTTGAAACTGAAGCTTATACAGCTTGACAGCCCTTGGGCTTTTATAATAAACATCCCCATGCAAACTGCATTTTCCATTTTATAACTTTGTTAGATACAGTGAGATAATAGATAATTTCTTCTTGTGATGGCACTCTTTTCTCAAACTAGTCAACAGGGTTTTCAGGCTTTGCTCTGGAAATGTCGTATGTTCTGGCCTGTTTCAAGATGCCAGCAACTGTTTGGCGTTTCTTTCAGCATCCACAATAGGAAAAAGGTTAGCTTTTTCAGTTTTATGACGTCTTCCAGCACTGCATTACCAGTGGATCCCAAAGGAACTGATGCCTTTCCTACCAAGAAAAGGTCTGAAATTGATTATGAAGAAGAAAAAGGATGGGATAAGGAGACTAAAGAAATATCTGAAGGGAAACTCCACTTTTCTTCCTCCATTGACGCTCCAAAGAAACAGTTAATGCGTCAAGTTCTGTCAAAGCATAAATTTACCAGTGTACAGCCTCCAGAAAAACCTTTGCAGGCTGAGGAATGGAACAGACTGAGAGAAAGCTTTCAAGCACCTGAAATATTTGAAGAAGTGATGTTTAACAGTATGCTCAGGTGCAACAGCCCCATTGATGTGGCTAAGTCCTTGCTGACCCATGTGGCAAAGAGTAATGGTGACATCACATATAATTTGTTGGTCAAATATCTGGCATTGTGTGTCCAGCAGGGGCAGACTTCAGAAATTTGTGATGTGTATGATATAATGAAAATCAGATTTAGGATTTTAGAAAGTGGGGCTTACAACCTTCTTATCAGGGGGCTGAGTAATTCAGATCAGTGGAGAAAGGCCTTGACTCTTTTGGAAGAAGTAAAAAAGATGATGATTCCCACACGGACAAACTATGAATCCTGTATCAAAGCAGCCAGCCATCACAAAGAAATGAACCTTGCATTTGAACTTTACCATGAAATGTTGGCTAAGGATTTGGTCCCAACCTTGGATGTCCTGCAGGCCTTTTTTGACTTCAGCAGGGGTATGAGAGGTGCTGAGTTACAAAAAGAACTGTTTGGTATCCTCTTATATTTGAGAGACAACCAAATATACCCTCACAGAACATTTATGCGGAGTATAAAGCTATGGTTTGAAAGGTAAATAATGTTTCAATAGCAAACTCCAGTTCTTGAGGATGGGATTCAGATTATTCCACAGATCAAGTCTAATAAGATCCTTCAACTTCTCATTTTGGTTGATGCTTCTTCATGAGAGACACATAGTCATGAAAAGACACATTTTATTTTTGCTCCAAAATCAGTTTAAAAGTGTAAAATTCATACTGATTTCACCTTTTCTTGGAAGATTTTACCTGTTAAATATTATTACTTGGTACAGAAAGTAGGAAGTTGTGATGGGTCATGGCTGTCCGAAATACCTGACTTAATCTCTTTCTGGGGTTGGTACATAGGGAATATTGACAGGTATGAGGATTTTTCCTATAATCTGTCGGAGTGTAGAAGTAGTAAGTTATTTGAAAATTATATAGCTTCTCTCTTTAAAGAAAAGAGGCAGCAAATTTAGTGTAGGTTAAATGAAGATTAAGTGTTGACCTTGTATATAATGATAGGAGAGAAATATTCTTAATAGGAGGCTCTTTTTTTTTAGCACAGTATTTAGCAGACCAAGCAGTTTGTTTTCATGATTCATGATGGTCAGACTCCACAAATTACAGCTAATTACGCTGCGCATGCACAGTGTAGTTCACCTGAGCCCACTGCATATTTGTCATGCTGTGGTATATGAGTGCATCTATGACTTTTTTTTAAACTGTTGGCTTTCGTTTGTGAGCTACACAGCCATTTTACAAATTAGTCTTCCTGCATGGAAAATGTGTCTGTGGGAATGCACTACCGTTATTGGAACAGTTTATGCTGCTGTCCCTTAGCTATTTTCTTTCCTGGAAAGAGCTAGGGAGGAGACAGAGTAGGTTTCAGTCAAGATGAACTGGTTTAATGAGTGAAAATCTGTTGTGGGGTGCTATTTTCCCAATGAGTGGAGAAGGACTTACCTGTAGGTATGTGCTGCATGCGCAGGAGGCTCAACATAATAAAAAGTCCTTGGCAAGGAGACTGCAGGGGCAGTGAGTATGTTGAAGAGCTTTGCCTATATGTAGTGGCAAATCAGTGCTGCAAGCTGAAGCTGTACAAACTCCTGTGTTTGTCTGTTAGAACAATTCATGAAAGATTGTGGTAGACTCATGTTTTAAGATCAACGATGGGTGTTTCCCTAAAGGAAGTAATGTTTCAAACATGAAGAAGAAACAAAATCCATGACAGGTGATCAGTTATCCCACCTAGCTTTTTATCTGTGATTCTGCACAAAATGCTCAGTTTTACCCATCTGTTCCAGTTGCTAGGGCTGAACTTGTATATGCTAGTGGTTGAAAATGAATAGGCAGTTTACATGGCGTTCCCAAAAATAAATAGATTCTGATAACTTCTAGCACTGTTAGTCTTGCAAAAACGACACAGATTGGGAGGTAACTTTTGCTGACAAAGGAAACCGATGGTACAATAAGCACAGAAGTGAGCTCTGGGAGTGTAACTGAATAGGTGTTAGTTTTAAAAAATTATTTTTCTGAAGAGCAGACCAGCACTGACTTCTAGTAGTGAGTAAAGCCAGATCCAATACAGAGATCTGAGTGTGCAACAGTATTTTCTGTTCCTGTTGCCTGATTTTCAATCAGTATTTTCTGTTGCCTATTGTCTTTGTAAGAAAGCTAAAGAACTGCTATGTATCAGTATGAGAAATGGGGAAGGAGGGCAGAAGCAGGATGGTTATTCCAAAGCCCATGGCATGTGTGATTGTGCAGCCTGTAATGATAGACACAGTGGCAAAGGGAGAGGTGCCTGCAGTTGCATGCTGGCATGGGTATTCCTATTCTGTAACCGGTTCTGGTTTGGATCTTGTGGGCAAAACAGAATATTTACACCAGCATGATGATGGCTGTGGTAGTGGTGGTGTGGATGATAATGATGTGGAGTCAAAAAATCTCAATGCAGCATTTTGGTATGAGCATATCTTTCTTAATCTCTCAGGATGACATCTGCATAGAAATCTTGATTCCTGCTTTCCCAACTTGTTTCTGAGGTGCTTTATGAATGTGTAGTGCAGCAACTTAAAAATTGTCAGTGCAGCCTGGTTATTTGTATGGTTTTAGTATTGGGGACAACATAAACTGGGGAGGTTGATGGTGTTAGTTCTCTGCACGTTGTTAAATGCTGGTTCTTTATATAATACTTTCAGGTGTTGCCGAATTATATGTGAATCTTTGTATGATTTCTTTGCAGGGTAGCTGATTGATTGGTCTTTTATTTCTAAATGTTGACCAAAATAGAATTAATCTTTATCTGTAATTCAGGTATTGTTAAATAAGAATCTAATGTTTTCATTTATCTTTCTCTCTGTATGTATTAGTATACCAGGAGGGAACTGGAGAGGACACCTGACCAACATTAAAGACAGGTAATGCAACGTTTTATTTAAAAGTGAGGGGTTGTCTTGATTATTCTATCTTGAACTCTTCTTTCATAAATATAAATAGCTTTCCTTATATAAAAAAAAATTTTAATCCTTGAGAATATGAACCTTTGTTGTGTACATAATGATTTCCCAAACTCCAGTTTCCAACTCATTCTTGTGCACTAAACAAGACCCAACATGCACATTTGGAAAGCAGTTAGGCTAAGCAGAACCAAGACAGAAGAACACAGAGAAAAGTTAGAGCTACCATTTTACTGGGTGGCTTTTTTGTTTACTGTTTAGGAATTAAGGACTTACTTTTTTTTTGCTTGGCTTTATAATACCATTGTTTAACATGGTATTTAACAGAGCAGCTTTGGTGTGTAAATGGATGTCTTCTTGAAAACTGATACTAGTTGCATGCTGCAGTTAATTTGTACAGATGGAAGGTCTCTCCCTTCCCCCTGATTTTCAGGGAAGACAAAATGATTCTTACGTTAGGTTTTCACAGGGATGACTTGGGTACGTGTTTCTATTACAGCACAGTTTTCTTAATGTCTGTAAATTCCTGGTTTAAGTGTTACTCTGTTTGAAACCTAGTTCTGTGTTTTTGTAGCAATTTGGCAACTATAAATGTCTTAATTATAAGAATGTCTCCAATGGATTATGGGGTTTTTTGGTGGTCTATAAAAATACACTGTGTTGCATACTCTGAAGTAAAAGCATGTGTAGAGTCTGCTGCTTTTGAAGCCCATGAAAGAACAGCGTAACTCACTGTCCTAAGAGTAGGGGTTGTTCACTGTAAGATGCATTATTATTATGATGCATGAGTGTGTGTGTTACTATACTGTATTATGATAATTCACCAAATTCTAGACAACAATTTTTAGCCTTTAGAGTTTTAAAAATCTGAAGTTGATTGTCTTGGTTAAGAGGTATCTTGTTATCTTACTGTCTGTAAAGTCTGCTACCAAGTTTGAGAGCTAAACTAACTTAGATCAGCTCACATTTTATCATGGATTAAGAATCTGTAAACAAAGCAGTGACAAGGTGCTATATGGTAGTGATTTTGTGGTAACTGTATGAACACTTTTTTTGAAATAAACAAGTTTGAGGTAGCCTACTTGGATAAGTATTTGAATAAAATTAAAATGGTTTCAAGAAAAGAAAAAGAATACAAGAGTTTTAAGTGAAGTGGCTGCTGACAGAAAAGATCCTTAGGATTTAAGAAAGCAAAAAAAAAGTTTGTTGGTTTTGTTGGGCTTTTTTTGTGGGGTTTTTTTGGTCCTAATCATAAAAGACGAAGCCCTTAAGGTATCCATGAAACTCATATGGTAGTTGTTACTAGACTCATCTCTCTGGTCAGCATAACTGATGTCTTAAAACGTGAGTCTTGAGTTAAAAAATCCAGAAGAACTATTTTTTCCTAAACTGAGTTTGACAATTTAATAGGCTTATTCATAGGTTATTTTGATTTTGTATAAATACTGGCAGTTATATCTAAGATACTCATATCCAGGATATTTTCTTCTTCCTCTAGCACTGCGCTCCTAGTTTCTTTGAACTGTGATAGTCAGAAGCTTGAACCCCCTGCAAACAAACCTTGAAGTTTGCTGCCCATTTTTCTTGGAGAGTTACAAAAGCTTAGATTTCCAAGGTCAGCTATAGAAAGCTGCAGCTCAAGGTTTTTGAGCCTGCGTTTAAATTACATGTCTGACTTCATGCTTGATATGTAGGTGCCATGATACTCCAAATCTATCTCAAAAAAATAGTCCTTTGAAGAAGTAGTTAAATAGTCAGCTAGCTGTAAGGACAGCTATATATCCTGCAGAGGTGAAAGCCACCTGTGTGGGAATTTCTTGGTGTGAAATCCTGAAATGATCAATGAGAAGTTACAAAAATTGCAAGGTAATTTTAAAGGTATGGTTGCGAAAAAGTAGCAGTTAGACTAAGGGTCCAGTCTTGCAAGATATCGAGTGTTTTCTTGTGTGTGTTTAGCCTCTTCTCCCTTTGGGAGTCCACATTGAGAATTCACAAGAAGAAACTGGCTTCAGGAGCTTTGGTTGTTGGTAGGTGGTTGGGGTGGGTTGATTTGTTGGGTTATGGGGAGGTTTGGTTTTTTCAAGTAATCTGAAAGTGATAGTTGCAGAAGGATCCAAGTGAACTATGGGACAGGTCCTTAAACTTTAGGCTTAAGGATTTTCAAATAGTCTCCTAACAGTTCATTAGGCCTTTCTCTTTGTTGCCAAACTGTGAAGTTCCTTAATGGAATTAGATGTATTTAATGGTAACTTTACAACTGTATGAGCCGCCAGTCTCATTGCTTATACTAATATGTAGGCTAAACCACAGTGGCTTGAGCAACTGGAGCGTATTGTTTGTAGGCAGCAGTGAATGTCCATTGTTTGGATTCGATGCGTAACTTTTTTTTATTCAGTAAATGCACTGTCAGCATTGCAATTAATGCAGTCTTGGCTTATGGTATGTGCATTAATGTATACTAGACATCAGTTGTTTGGAGAATTTAACATTTATGATTGCTGTGGGTTTAGAAAATTACAATGACTTAGCTTTGGCATCTCTGGGATATCTCTGTGGAGACAGCTGGGGGAGAATAACTTGTTCCATTTCAACACATAAAGCTCAAATCCTATGATTCAGTTCTGAGATTGTGTTTATGAAAATAAGATATTTAGGTGGATTTAGAGAAGAATGATTTCGGTTCAAACTATACCCAGCTGGGTGAATATAGGCTTCTGAACAGAGCGTGATAGAAAGGAAAAATGTGAAACATCAACAGCTTATCCTGCATATAAGAGAAGCTTAAGTGGGAGCAAGCGGCAAAAAAGTCATTGTTCGTCAGCCAGGAAGAACCACAGAACCCATTCAGACTAAGCGTCATTTTATTGCCTGTTGGAGAAGCTACTACATTCTGCTTATTTTCTTGGTACCGTGGCTGGAGTGTCCAGTCTGGTGATGAAGATGCAAGCTGGATCTCAGGTTTAATATTCTTGGCAGAAGTGCTTGAGAAGAGACGTGACTGACTGTGAATTTGCTTGGTGTATGTTAATGTCCTATCTGACAATTTCTTCTTCCTTTTTCATGTAGTTATTAAAGAGTTAAGCTTGGAAAAATTTCTAGGTTTAACCTACAGTCAGAGGTGCAAGTCAAGAAGTGTACCCATCAAGTCTGTGTATATTTGTAGCTCATTGGTTTGTCTTTGGAAAGTGTATCTGCAAAACTTTTAGGTAACTTTTCTAGGGAAAAGAAAAAGGTTAGTGTAGTTCACAATTCAAGCACAGAGATGCCGGTTGTTTTGTCTCAGTCCTCCACTGTTATCCCACCTTAGTTACATGCCCTTTTTGTGGTGGGCCCAGAGGTTGATGGTAGTGATGCATGACATACATTTTTGATGTGGGTATGGAATTGTGCATTTTGTTTATTATGTGTTTGGTTTATAGGGGCTAATGGGAGAGACAGCTAGGAAAGAAAAGAATGAACAAATGGGACATGGAAGCGATGACAGTTGCAGTTTGATTTCCTTCAGACTGTGTGTTAGGGCAGAGGTCGTGGCTGTGGGACATGAAACAAGAGAAGAGGCTAGATACTAAAAAAGAAGTTTGTTCTTTCTCTCAAAATATAGTTCTAGGGGATCATACAAAAATCCAGAGATGCCCACAGAAGTTAGGCCTGTCTTGTTTTGCACCTTGGAGTTACATGTGTGCTGTGCTAGCAGGCTGGAGGAACAAAAACCCAACTCAGTTGACATGGTTCTTGTGGTTGTGGTTTGTTTTGTTGGCCTTTCCCAGTGCTGGGGAGTTTTTGCAGCAATAGGTTTGTTAGACAAAAAGTTGTGCCTCTTGGCTGGCATGGATTTGTGTGTTCTCTGTAGCGTTGCCTCACATGTGCTGTTCTGGAAAATTTTTCAGGATCTGCTATGACATGCTGGCACTGTTCTTGAGGAAACGAAAAGAGTTTGAGGTCTGTTTTTTCGCATCCCTTATTGTTCTATCCTGTAATCCTTTTATGATGGATTTTCAATCTCTTTGGTCTTTTAGCATTAAAAACATGCATGGACAGATCAGTGGAGAGTTCTTGTATGTGTCAGAGACAAAACAATGTTATGATTTGGGATTTGCAGAACCACAATTGTTACCATAGCTTCTGGCCCTGCAACAGGGAAACTTAAGAGTACTGAGAAGTGGATGATGTGAATGATAAAGGAAACTGTCCGAGCACTACATGCGGTTGTACAATCACTGACACAGCTGCTCATGATGGACTGGTGTTTCTGGCTCTGGGAAATGAACACTAAATGATGGCATTGGTTGACTCTAGCTGCAGAGCTGTTTCATCCGCAGCAGTCTGCATTCCTAGATCCATGTGATGATATTTAGCCCATGCTACAGAGCAGGAACGGAAGTTCTTAGGAATAAACAAGTAGTGATTAGTTGCCAGGAGATAGCAATGTAAAGCTGCTTTCTGTTTGGGTGCAGTCAGCCCGATACTAAAAAATCTCTGGTGAAATTGGGCATTGTACAGACATGCAGTGCCAGTGTGATTTAGTATTGCTGAGGGCTTTCAAAGCAAACAGTATTTCTGTTTTAGTCACGTTCTGCTCTTAGTCTGTTCACTTTGACCGCCTTGGAGAGATCTGAACAGTTAGTCTTAGTCTAGAAATAAGGAGAAGTCTGATAGCAAAAGACAAGTGGCACAAATAAGGCAGTCTTGCTCATTATTTGCTTTTTCAACCATACAGCAGATTTTATATTACCTTTTCTTTCTTGCTTTCTTGCGTTCTTCTTTTGGGTGGGGTTATTCCTACATCTATGGCAGGTTTGATTATTCCAAACCTTAATAAACCAGGCACGAATAGCTTAGCTTTTTTGTAGGAGCATTGAGTGGCATAATAGTGAAGCATTTCACTGGTGCATTTTCTTGTTTTAACACTTGGAATGGATTTATAGCTAGACGAACACTCTGTGGCCAGCCTGCTACCTTCAACTACTATGCCTACAGCTGCTTCCTATGTTCTGGCCAGGCCCTTGCAACTGCATCACTTTCCCACATCGAGATCTGGGCTGTATGTATCCATGGTGACTGCCCTGTGTAGGAGGGAAACTTCCAAATATTAGAGATGTGTAAATTTGTGGTAATGCTGAGGATTGAATTCTGATCTCTCGAGGCCTAAATAAATGGTAGTTGATATTTAAATACTCTTTTTTTTTTTTTTTTTTTGACAATGCTGTCATGCAGAGTTTTAGTCCTAAATCCTCAAACATCTCTGGAGTTAAATCTTTGATCCTGATCCCATTAAATCACATAAATTTATTCCTAGTGACTTCAGTAGGTTCTGGATGCATCTGAGAAATCAACTAATTTTCTGATGGTTGTACTGTGTTGGAGTTCTTGTAAAAAATTGTGCTTATACACAGACACTCAGTAAGTTAGTAAAATGTGAGTGATTTCTTATTTAAAAGCCTTTATCCTTTTATTTTCTTGTTTCACTATTCTTACAGCGGGCAGTGCCCAGTTTGCAACCATCAGTTGGAGGATAGTGACCTCACCGAAGAGGAGTACAATAATCTCAGAGAAAGAATAATAAGGGACGTGATACATGGAACTGACACTTTTAGAAAGACAAGCCCACAGGTAGGTCTTGCATGCTGTCAGGTTCATTGGCTAAGAGGGTAGTATACGGTTAATGGTCAAGTACTTTGAAAACACCACAAATCTTTTTTTCTTTGCTTCAAACATTAATAGGCCATTAGATACTGAAGTATCCTGTGTATCTTTTTCAGTTGTGTTTATAATATGGATCTAAATCTTTACCTCTTTCATATTGTCTTTGTTCTTATATTTTCAGTCAGCTGTTAATGGATACTGAAATAATTAAAATGTAATTATTTTTTTTTACATTAAAAAATTTAAAAGGTATGGAAATATTTTAATCCTTCAAAAGCGTAAATTTTAAATATGGGATAAAACCCAGTAACTAGAACAAAATAAGACATCTAGTATTTTGAGCTTGCACAAAAGTAGAAGTCCTGGTGTTTCTTAAGTTCAGTATCATATCTGAAGCTTACATTTATGTGCTCAATATTTGATTTTTTTCAGTTGAGCAACCGTTTGCCAGAAACCATGAAGAACCAGTTACCATTTTGTTCAGTCAACTTTCACAACCCACCAACCAACCAACTACCCCTCAATTTTAAAGATACACTTTCATATTTATAATTACAGTATACATCAGGAGTATCAAGCTTTTCAAAGATCATTGTAAAGATAAGAGAGGGCGTAATTCCCAGGCACTGTGGTATATCGCAGTTCTATGTCCTCCTGGCTTTTGCGTGGGGATGAGCGCTGCAGCCCCAGCGGCCGGGAGCGGAGCTGAGCCCCGCTAGATGGAGCCCACGCCACACCTCGGGCTGCTTTCGCGTTGCCCTGAGGAGCGTGGCCGGCGTTTTGCTGCGGCTGCCACCTCAGTGCTGCACCGCTTCTGCAGACATGGAAGAGGACACCAGGTTTAATTCTTCAGGCTTTCTGCAGGCACAGACATTGCGCATGTGTAACAGTTGTAGGAACTTGACACGGTTAGCTTTGGAGTCCTTGTAGTACCTGCAGCCTGTTGTTCAGACATCTGATTTCCACACAGATGTTCTCCTCAGTTCAGGACTTCTAGCTGATCTGGCTGTGAACTGTACAGGGGAGTAAAATTACCCTTAAAAATGTAGCAATAATTTTAAGTATTTAGTGGGTACTGGTGTTCTATAATATTATAAGATAAACAAAAGGATGTGTTTTATTGCGCACTGTACAACTAACTATCTGTTCTCTAAAAGCCTTTGTGAAAATTATGGTTGAGGTTGGTTTATTAAAGAATGGAACAACAACAAAGCTTTTCATTCCTTAACCAGTTAACTGTCTAGTCTCTGAAGTTTCATTCCTGTTGCCCGTGGTGACTGCTGGCTTGAAAATTTCAAATTTGCCAAGTACCCAGGGCTAGATTAGCAGTACCAGTTGAAGACAGGGAGATTTAGGAAGGGAGTTCTGGGTATCAGGACATTGATGCCCAAGCTGAGCAGTGATGGAAATGATGTTCCCCCTGTTTGAGAACACGGTTAATCAAATGAATGCAATCTAATGAAACACAGAGTATACACTATTTTAAGTTTTGATGTCAGCAGATTTTGTTAGTCCGTGTGATAGCTGAAATTCTGTCATTTATGATTCTGGGGCCCCCGACTTGCTAGTTCCAAGTTGACCTTCTTCCAGTTCAGTATCAGCACGCAGTCACCAGGAGGCTGAATGGACATGAACTCGGTCTTTTTACTCTTGCCCATATAGCTTAAAGACTGCACCCTCAGTGAATTTTGAGTGTGGATGTGAGGATAGAGGCAAAACAGTGTTGTGGTCTGCCAGAGGTTTCCAGAAATAAATTTGGGACTTTTTAGTTGCCTTTCTGCTGTGAAAGCAGACGTGTGGTGATGAAAATATGCTGCTCGTTTTAGGTATGCCAGACTGTGTGACTTCTCCTGCAGCCAGGGTTTTCCAGGGGGGAAACTAGGTGAAGAGGCTGAAAATAGGATGTAAGCAAGTGTATCTGAGATGGGGGTTTCCATTTTCCAGTCAGTCACTTTTTTGTAGTAGCCGCAATTCAAATAGAAAACAGTTTAGCTTTCTATTCCTTCTTTTTTCCTAACTAGTTTTCTTTAGTGCATCTGTGTTTCTTGCATTGAAATGATTATTCAGGGAAACAGTTTGAGTTGCTTTGAGGTCTGAACATTTTTTTTCCAACAGTATTTCAAATTGAATATGTAATGCATTTGGAATCTTTTTTTTTTCCCCACTGAGGAATAGTCTTTTGTCTTACTTTTGCAAAAGCATCATTGCTTTATTCGACTTTATTTCTCTCACTTAAGAATAAATGCAATCAGAGTAGAAAATTAGGAGCAAAGATTTGGTTTGTTGAGGATCCCCCAAAAGTAGTCTCTTGCGCTGTGATTAAAAAAAGATCTTTTTTGTAATTAGTTTTTGGAAAGAAAATCAAACAACTTAGGTTTGTACATCTGAAAGGTAGTGAACACTATTTACAAATATGTTGAAAAGATAGTTTGAATGAACAGTAAAACTGATTATCTGTGATAAGGAAATACCTGTTACACATTAAAAATAGACATTGAATCAGAGCTTTATGCACAACTGCTGAAAGGTCTATTAGGATGTCGTATGTTGGTTTAATATAGCAAGCTCCAGCCTTGCAGGCTGCTGTAGAAAGAAAACACTTGTAACAAGACTGTCACCTTTTGTACCAACGTCTATATGATGTTTTCAGCTGAGTGCCTGTTTACTCTGGCTGCATTTAATTGGGAGCTGTGCCATTGAGCCTGAGATAATTGGTATACTGAGAGGCAGAATCAGCTTTTGCTATGATGACTTTCATGTCACAGCTGCTCCCAGGTGTTTTTCTCAAATACACAAATGCAGTAATTTCATTCCCTCCGTGGCTACTTCATACCCCTGATAAGCCTGAAAGGACTGTTGTACAGGAGGAAGGAAGCACATCGGAGATGTGTATGTGCTGTCAAGAAGTCAGGAAGAGATGGGTTTGTGGGCATGTAAAGTCCCCACACTAGATGTGGACTAAGTGTGTAAAGGGATTTTACGTATTGTTCTAGAATATAAGAGATTGGAGGGGGAAGAGGAAGTGACCCATTCATCTCAGTGGCGTTGTGGTTTTTTTTTTTATCATACTTTGGTTCTCCCTCCATATGTGCATGTTTCCCAACTCCATGATTTGTCCCAAAGCCCTGTATGGTGTATATGTCAGTCCTGTTCTGAATGGAGTAGTTTATTACTTCCAAAACCCCTATGTACTCCAAACTCTAAGGCGGCTGTGTCTGACAGTCTGCCCTAACCCCATCTGGCAGAGCCTTCACTCCCAACTTCCAGTGTGATTTTCTCATTCTTCTACCTGCTTTATTAACTCAACTTGTGGTCAAAGTCAGTGAAATTGCCTGCACTTGAGCTGTTTCCAAGGTGAGCTACCCTTACCTGCCCTGAGATGCTTGGGTGATTGTGGCTGTCCATCTTGAACCTGGATGTCACGGCTTCTTGGCCTCAGCTCAGGGAGGAAGAGAAGGGTGATTAATTCAGTTAGGCCTGCTGTGTCTCCTGAGAAGATCAGGGTCTGAAGAGGAGAAAACCCCTTCCCAGCAAGCAGCTGGTACTGCATGCGCAGTGTGTACCACAGCCCAGGCAATGTGTGCCATTTACCTCCTCTATGTCTATTCCTGTATATGTTAGCTCCTCGCTGTCACTGCCAGGGAGTAAAGAACTTCCTGAGGAGAGGAAATGTGGAAGGAAGGAGAAGGCTGGGTGGAATTTCTCCTGTAGGTTCATGTGCCCCCTTCCTTCCCAGATATGTGCCATATTGCAGCCAAGGGATCAGATTCCCAGATAAGTGTTTGTCCTCTACAGTAGGAGTGCAAAACTTTGGCATGTTGCTGAATGCTGCAAAGCCCCTTGCACTGGGATGGGGGATGTTTTGGGCAGGAACAGTTCTTGTGTTTTTTTTCTCAGGTGGGAATGACTGGAAGTCCTCTTGTCAGTTCTGTGGGAGGGTGGGTCACTTTGCTAGGGTTCAGTTTAAAATGACAGCACTTGAATTCAGAGCTAGCTTCTGCAAGAACCGTGCTGGCAGGATACAAATCCTGCTGGTGCCGTCATGGGTTGAAAGCTTTCTGTTAGTTCTGGAGAGAGAGATAAGGATGATGAGCTCTAGTTAGGGTTAGGATTAGGCCTAAGCCTAGGCTTCAGGATGTTAGAGATTTCTGAGCTAGCATTTTTTTTCTCTTCGCCCCAACCCTTCCTTCCTTCCTCTTCTCTCGGAGGCCCAAGAGTAGGGTGAATGCTGAGGTTGCCTTAGGTGAGCAAGTTCAGTGCTGAACAGTTTAATTCTACAGGTTTTGCAGAATTGCAGATTGATGATTAAGTCCATTGTTGCCTTGTGGCTAATTTTTAGTTATGGGAAGGATATTGTAATTAGCTTGTAGATAAAGATAGGGTTAGCATTTCAATTAGAATTAAATACACTGATACCAAGCCGGAAGACTCCTGGATCATCATGCACATGTGCAGTCATAGGTCCAGGGAAACAGACAAAGATGAAACAGCATTTGCAGATAGGGTTGAACAGCTGCTCCCCCCCCCGCCTCCCCCAGATCTCTGCAAATATGGGCCACTGGACTCAGTCAGGATAGGGTTAGTATTCAGTAGGGCAGAGTCTTGCATTGCCTTAAGAGCCAGGTTTGCTGCTAGGTCTTGTAACATCCACAAGGATAGAGGAGAGCTGGCCTGAGTGGAGCTCAGGATTAGCTGTGGGTTTGTTTCAGTTGCAGTGTTTTGGCTAGAACTAGAGTTAGTTTGGGGGTTAGAGAGAATACTAGCCTCAGAGCCTGATCCACTACTCAATCTTGTAGGTCTAGTAAGCACAGAATAAAGACAGGTAATGGTTTATGGCGGGTGTTGAGACAATTGCAGTAGTAGAGGGCTCAGAGTCTGAGAGCACTGCAGCCCAAGCTGCAGCCTTTATCCTGTTTACTTTCTGTCCTCCTGCCTCCATTTAATTCAGGGTGGATGTTACACTCTTC